CCCACAAATGATTGATCTAGCGGCTAAAAACCTCCCCTGTACAACCTCATAAAGCCGCTCTTAGGCGTTTATTATCTATCCCTAATTCACCTGCTAACTGTTGTATAAAGTCATCGTAGGACGCTCTGAGGCGTTCCAAAGTGGCAAGCTGATCAACAATCTTAGATAGCTCTTCTTTGAGTTTCTCACACTGTTCTGTGGTTAGTCCCTGTACTTTCATTTTCACACCCGCCAATAGAGGATGTATGAACATAGCAAAGTACATAACTCATTGAAATATAGCAACGTCCCCATATACCCGATTGATCAAAATTAAGCGTTTGGTTTTCAAGTGAATTTACTTCTGCTTTTTTGACCTACCACCCATTGGGTGTACTATCGGGTTAACTATCAACTTCATATGTGAACATGAAATGACCTTTAAAGTTATTGCCCTTGATCTCGATGGTACGCTACTTACACCACAAAAAACGATCCTCCCTGAATCAGTACTAGCCCTTCAGAATGCCCGTAAATCTGGTGCGAAGGTAGTGATCGTAACCGGGCGGCATCATGTAGCAATCCATCCTTTCTATCAGGCATTAGAGTTAGATACTCCCGCTATATGCTGTAACGGGGCATTGCTTTACGATTACTTAGGTAAAAGAGTTCTTGCTTCTGATCCCCTACTTCCAGATCAGGCTAGGCAATTAGTAGCACTGCTGGATGCTCACAATGTTCATGGATTGATGTATGCAGACGATGCGATGTTTTACAGTGAATCAACTGGACACATTACCCGTACTGAAACGTGGGCTAGATCTTTACCTGAAAATCAACGCCCGGTCTTCAAACACGTTGATTCTTTAGGGGCTGCTACCCATAACGTAGATAAGATCTGGAAGTTTGCCCTAACTGATAGTGATATTGATAAATTGAAAAATTTCACTCAAGTAGTTGAGAGGAAGATCGGCCTTACCTGTGAATGGTCATGGCATGATCAAGTAGATATCGCCCAGACAGACAATAGTAAAGGTAAACGTCTTTCACAATGGGTTGAATCACAGAGTTTATCAATGAAGGATGTTATCGCTTTTGGCGATAACTTTAATGATGTGAGTATGTTACAAAGTGCGGGATTAGGTGTAGCTATGGGTAATGCCTCGGATGAGGTTAAAGCTAGTGCTAATGTGGTGATTGGTACTAATACTGAATCTAGCATTGCTAAGATTCTTAACCAGTACTTTGAGCGTGTACCAGCATAAGAAAAAGACCTGTACTCGTTACAGGCTATCAGAAGTTGTTTAAAACAGTTGTTATGTAACTACATTACTTTGGAGTTTTATATGCGGCTTACTGTACCCGAAATCGATTGTAGTGAAGGATTTACCACCGAGAATGATATTTTCAATAGAAAAAGATTCAGCGTTCAGCTAGAGAATATCATTGCACATAGTGATGATGAAAATCTTGTTATAGCTTTAAATGAAAAATGGGGGAATGGAAAAACTACATTTTTGAAAATGTGGGAAGCAGAAATCATCAAAAATGGAAATTTCAATGTTGTTTACTTTGACGCTTTCCAAAATGATTTCCAATCAGATCCATTCATAGCTATCGCATCGCATATATATAGTAAAATCGACGACAATGAATTAAAGGACAAATATCTATCAGCCACTAAAAAAGTGGCATCTGTATTATTAAAAACATCGCTTAAAATAGGTATCAGCACGCTAACACTAGGAGCAGTGAAAGGTTCCGAATTAGAAAGTTTCGGTGATGATATTAGTTCTGCAATCAATGATCCTTTAGAAAAATACATCGAAGAAAAAATAACTCAACTTGACAAAGAGAACAACACACTTGAGCACTTCCGCAGCACACTTTCAGATATAGCTACTGAAAAGAAACTAATATTTATTATAGATGAACTTGACCGTGCAAGGCCTAATTACTCCCTTGAATTACTTGAAAGGGTAAAACATGTGTTTAATACAAAAAACATTTATTTCATTCTCTCTACGGACAAAGATCAGTTTATCAAAATAATACAAAAAACATATGGTCCGATAGATGCAAGCATGTATTTAAATAAATTTATTCATTTGTGGGTTTCACTACCAAAGAATGATAATGCCGCAATGAAATCATATACACTTTTAAAATACCTTAATTATATTAACAAAAAAATATTAAGCAGAGATATTGAACTTAAACCTTCATTAGATGCATTATCATATCTGCTAAGAATCAATAATTTTAGTTTGCGAGATGCCGAGAGATGCTATAGCCTTTTACTTCTTTGCAATACAAACTTTGATAATGGATTAAGATGGGAATATCAAATTGGAGTAGCTATTGCTGTATTCCTAAAACTTAAAGATGAAAGCCTGCTTATAAAAATCAAAGAGAGAACAATCACAAAGAATCACGTCATGGAGGAACTGGGAGTTTCTGCTTTACCGGAAGATGACAACTATCATATATTGTTGGCACTTAACACTGAGTATCTGACACATGAAGGCTACGCAAAAGCGATAAGTGAAAATGATCAAATGGTATTTCGTGACAGTTTTGGGCGACAGCCATTAACTATATCACATGCAATAGATCTCATTTATAACATTAAATAATAGAAACTACTAAGTATCCCAATTAATATTACCAGTACTTTCCATACTTCATCTAAAGGAACTATGGAAAGTACAGCACCACCTTAAACTAATACTTGCACAAATGGTAACCCTGAATACTCAGCCTAAACTTTTTTAAAATGTGAAACAATTTCTAATTTTTCCTAGTATGATCTGGTTTTACTCATTCTTCTGATAGATATCTAAAGGATTCTGTCAGCACTAAAGTATCAAGTTCCTTTCCCTACCCTCTTCCGCTATATCAGTTCTCAATATTATCAGTACTGGCAATCATTTCTTTCTTCACGCGAAACACTGTAGCCCTGCCGCAATCACATAACTTTGCGATCTCGTCTGGTGTATTCTTTCCGGCTTGTAACATATCGATAATCTTGTTATGTAGTTCTTGGTTCTTTTGCTTGCCTTTGTACTTCCCTGCTTCTTTGGCAAGAGTAATCCCCTCATTGCGGCGTGATGCGATCATTCCTCGTTCAAATTCCGCAACGGCTCCCATCATGGTTAGGATCAGGCGTGATTGTGGGGAGTTATCAAAGCTCATTGAGTTAGCAAGGAACTGAACAGTGATCCCACGAGCAACCAGGTTATCAATCATTTCCAGCAAATCGCGAGTATTGCGTGCCAGGCGGTCGATGCTGTGGGCGACGAGAGTATCACCTTCGCGGAGGTGTGAAAGCAGATTTAACAATTCAGGTCTTTCGCTGGTGGACTTGCCTGATTCTTTCTCTGTCACTATTTTATCGCAAACAGGTTCCAGTACTGCCAATTGGCGATCAAGATTCTGGCTCCGGTCGGAAACACGAGCATAACCAAAAATCATTTCCTTGCCCTCACTCTCTGTAAGTATCATTTGAATTAACTGAATGATACAGTATCATTTAAATCCAATCAACATCTAAATGATACTTAGCGAGACAGGAAAACTGAGTATCGTAGGGGAGTACCCAAAAGAGATCTGTCACGAATGACACAAAATTAAAAAAATTACACTGAATTTACTTAATCCAATAAATCGTCAAATACTTTCAAACCAATCCCTTTGTTGATGGAAAACCCGCCAAGAAGTCCGATCTCTTCGTGAGAAAAACCGAGAAATGGAAAGTAACCTTCTTCTGATAAAACTGAGGTGTACATAGTTAAAGATTTCAAACGCGATGCGATACATATTTGTAAGTGCCCCCCAATTGTTGTTGACAGTTCATTTTTGATTATTTGCTGGAGTGCGATTATCGGACCTCTTCCTGTCTGGTATCGAGTTGATAGACACAATTCATTTTTTGTTTTTATCATACCTAAAACCTCATTCTTTTTATCCCCTAAAATAACATAAGGAGACTCCTCTAAGTTTTTCTCATCAACTATAATATTATCTGGGTGATCAGGATTATTTCTAATGACGAATATTTTGTATGCTTTGTTTTTTTTACAATAACCAAAAATTACAATTTCACACTTTGCATTTTTGGGATGATAATAACCCATACTCATTATATATTTTTTAGCAATTCTTCCAGTAAGGAATGCTATATCTTCAATACTGGGCATTCGTTTATCTATTGATAGTTCTACTTCTTCGCCATTGCGAATATGTGATATTTCTGAAAGATTATCTAAGCACATTGTTAAAATATCTTTTACGGCTGTCCCAATTAAAGTACTTCCAGCAAAGCCGTATCCGATATTCAACAAATTATTGGGGTTTTGCTTGAGGATACTGTCGCTAATATCGTACAAGTTGACAGGTAAAGGAAATAATTTAGGTAATGCGTCAGTAAGTGGTTCTGCACCACTACACACAAGTGAATCTGAAACAGCCCAAAGCCCAGGAAAAAACTCATTTTCATCAGTATTCAACCAACATATAATCGATGTCATTAAAATCCACCTCAAGCATATTAATAAAGTTATTATACATCATCAGTATCAAATCACCCAGTGCTACATTTCTAATTTATTCTGATATATCCATGAACAAAAATTTTTACTATGCCGCACCCATACTGAAACAATATATTTATATTCAATAGATTCGATGTAAGTAATATTACATAACCTACAATACTTAGCGGTTCATATTCATAAAACTGAATGCGAGGCATAGCATTATTCACGAAAGTGAGTACAAATGCATCTGTATCCAAAGTGATTTTTGATCATTCGTTTTTTAGTTAATCTAGGGTTCGTGAAAATTGCGGTACTGAGATCTGAGTATATGGCATTTAGTCGGCGAGGTTGAAACTGATCAGGTGAACGAGATTTTAAATCGTGCAGAAAAATACCGACCGTACTTTTTCCTGAGAAAAAGATTACTTAATGTTTTTTGTCAAAAATCGTGAGGGCTGGGATTTGATTATTTTGTGAACTAAAGGCCAGTACCTTAGCCGCATTCTTAAACGCGAAGATTGTAAAGGAGATTAAAATAGAAATGCATAGATTATCCATTTGCGATAAAATCTGTTAAGATTGCTATTCCGAGGTTTCTTATGGGTAAAATTTCCGAACGTTTGAGACATGCAAGAATTAGTGAGGGGCATTGCGTCATTTGCGGTTCATATGGCTTATTGAGTAAGGATCATGTGCCACCTCGTTGTGCAACGAATATTCAACCAATGTTTCAAAAAACAGTGTCTGAATATTATTCCTCTGATGAAATAAAACCAATAAATGCCCACGCCGGAGCGACATTTAAAACCATATGCAAGAATTGTAATGGCAACATACTTGGGAGTTTGGATCATGAGATCAAGGCTCCTATCGAGACCTTTATAAATCTAATTAAGCAATATTTATCTGGTGTTCATTTTTACGGTAACATTATTTCAACGCCTTTCAATGCAATACCTTTTTTGCGTGCAATGGTGGGTCATCTGCTCGCAGCGGCATCCGTAGAAATATGCAAAAATGGCCTCATTGATAATGAATATTACACACCACTAAGAAATTTTGTTTTAGGAGAAAATATGAAGATAGAAGATACTCATGATTTCTATTATTGGTTTTATCCTAACAGAACACAGATAACGGCTCAGCAAACTTCGTTTTTTAACAATGGTCATCTTTGTCATTGTAGCTGTATGCACTTCTTTCCTATAGCTTTTTTAATAACATTTAAAAATGAAGGAACATATCCTGCACATGCATCAAGATTAACAGTTGATGATAAAAAATTATATTTTAATATGACTCAAGGAAACTTGGACTATGTAGCATTTCCCTTCACACCACTGAAAGGGAATCAAATGATGCTGATGACAGATACGTTTACTTCAGCAAGTTACCCTCAGAAATAAGCACCTTCTATAGAAAAACCAGTACTAATCATATTCAATCGAAAAAATCATAAAGCAGCAAGGGAAAAGCTTGTGCTCTATATAAAAATTGAAGCATTAAATATCAGGAAGAACTTTTTTTATTTCTGCCTCCGCAGAATAGGGCATTCCACCGCTTTCATACGCCTTAACTGCGATTACTGTATTTTTTAATTTAGTTATAGCATTTTGTTTCCACTGAGGAGACCAGTAAGAACAATTAAGTTGTCCAACTGCATGATAAAAATAATCTTTGATATTATAACAAAAAAGAAAATTCATACTCACAATATTTTGTTCAAGTTCATATGATTCAAAAACATAACCAGCATTTGCATTCCAATACTTTAGTATCCGTATCAATGGTTTTATCAAAGAGTAATTACTTCTGTTTTTATCAGTTAGTTTACTATTAAAATCATTGGGGTTAGTACTAATCCATGTTTCGAAATTATTTGCTGGTGCAGGGATTTGATATCCATACATTGTATTATAAACAGCAGGAACCAACTCAAACGTAATATGATGGAGGTTAAGTTTAATTGTTGGGTGACTTTGCTTTCTTTCAGAAGAAGAATAATAGCATTCAACAAAATTCTTGAGGCGATTTAAATACGTCTGCGGTTGATGCCCCGTATTACTGAATACAACCATATAATCCACATCAGATTGAGGATCATATTTTCTCGGCAACATTGTATAACGGGTATTAGAACCAAACGCAAAATGGCGTATAACAACACTATTATCAAAATAGTATCCAAGTCTTCTTTGCAATGTGCTAATCGAAGTTGTTATAGTGCTATCCTTCAAGATAGCATTTCTGGATATAGTATCCAAATAGGTTTGAACGCTCATTTCTTTTCCTTGTCGATAGCGTATTGAGAAAAACCATTATTGACATCTGATTGCGTTTTTTCGTATGCCCATCGTGGGATCGTAGGAGAGCTAATGTTTAGTTGATTCCTTCGATCAGAAAAAACCTTTATTTTTTCCTTTAAATCATTTTCAGACAAAGTTACTTCAATTAGCTCAATCTCACGAAAAAGACGAACATCATTTTTAAGGTTATTATATTCTCCAGCCGCTGATTTATGATGACCAGCACGCTTACTTGGATTCAAAGCAGTATTAATTGCTGTTAAGCATGTAAGTACAAAGGATATTAATATAGTAATATTAGTCATGTCCTTCAAAGCACTAAGACCAGCTATAGCAGATAATATTGCTATAGGTACCCCTATTAATAAATTACATCTTTCCCAAGGGGAAGATGCATTATAATGAGATTTGGAAGAATAAAGAGCATCCTCTTCGATACGCAAACATTCATCTTTGATTTTTTCAATAAGTTGGCTGCTCATTTTCATTCTCAATGATAAATTTTATGTAGCCTACAACATTCCTTAAAAAAATGTAAGGTTTAGGGTGAGAACATCGAGAAGAAAAAGCCCATAATAGATTGATTTAACTTGTTTTTTAAGAAAGTAACATCATCGTAAAAAAAGGCCACTTTCGCGACCTTCTTAAACACAGTTCATTGAGAACGATCAAGTATCATATACGCTGGCTGGCACATACTACCCCGCTCCTGTAGCCAGTAGTAATCAAGATCGGCTACATGCACATCCAACCCCGAATCCACACGGTTGATCTGTAACCGTAGCCCTACAGTGCCCTTGTACGATAAACCAGATTTAACAACGTATTTGTACTTAACCCCACCTTCTTCTTCAAATGACTTGAGATAAGGCGTCATTTGTTCCTGAATTTCCTTTAAGCAAACAACTTCATTATTAAAAGTAAATGGTTTTTCTATTTTCCCAGCTGGTACAGCCGCAACTGACACACCAGAGCAACAAAATAACAGTACTGCGATAGAAGCCTTTTTCATATTAATATTCCTTATTGAAGGTTAGTACTTAATACTTCACCAGTATCAGCATTGAACGTACAGGAGTACTCTATATTTTTAAACGCACCAAACCCGTTTTGAGCCTGTGCTCTATGCCCGTAAAGAGTGACTAATTTCCTGCTTTTGTCGTACCAGCTATACGAAGAGAATTTTGGTTCGGTAATTCCATCAGTCCATTTAAATTGGTACTGAGCAGAATTTTCTACAGCTACCTTACAAATATAATCGCCAGATTTATGTTTCGAAGCGTAGCAATGAGCATCATCGAGACATTTAGCTTCTTCCTCTTTTGCCTGTCTTTCTTTTTCTGCGGCAAGTACAGCATCCTGAGCCGCCTTTTCTGCTGCTTTGACGCGTTGTTCTTCGGCAAATTTGGCGTAATCAGTAACATTCGAAATATTATTTTCACGGGCAACAGAAAACTCTTTACCGTCTTTAAATCCAAGTTTTTGTGCTCTGGCTTCATCGCTTGAAGATCGGGCAGCACTTGCCACAATAGCAAGCACAATGATCAGTACAGGAACCGTATAATTATTAATGAGTTTATAGGGTAAGTACTTAGCCCGGAGAGTACCGAAGCCCAAAACAGCCCAGCTGATCGCGGCAGCACTTGCCAGTAGCTGGCACAATCCAGCGACGGAAAGCATAACGACCGACCAGAGGCCAGTACCAGCGGAGAAGAAGTCACCAAATTTTTCAATCCCAGCCAGACAAAGAAAAACGCCCCAAAATCCATAGATTACCAGCTGTACCAGTCTCACGATGTTGAAACTCCTGCTCGCTTTTTAAGGTTAAAAGTACGGACTAAAACCATCCGTTTTCACGCCCTCAAGAGTAACACGCACATACAACAACGATCGATATTAACGATCAATAATCGATAAATTGATCGACATAATCTATCAATAACTATTAATTTGATACAAATCAATAGGTAAAATCGATCAAGGGGATTCACTGGATATGAAACTGGCTATGTATCTGATTTCAATACGGGAAGTACTGTCTATTCCACCTCACAGACGCTCTTAAAGAGTCGTTACGCCGTTTTATGAGGTTTTGTGCGTTCAGGTACATCAGTAATGAATATCGCGTTCAGGGGCTTCCTGTGCGTTTTGTCGGAAACACCATCATGAAGGGGAATTGAGCGGATCGGGTTCGCTTCGCTCTGGACAGTACTGATAGTGCTTTTTCAGTAAGTGAAACAGCAGATACCCCACTAAGTACACAAAGGAGTCATCAGTCTAATAAGTAATGAAATGACAATCAGTTACGTAATTACTGACAGAACAAAAAAACGCGATTGGTTCGCTCTGCAAGTGACTGGAAGGAACGAAGCAGTAGAACCGAATCCAGCGAACAGTACTCGCTTGCGGGTACTGTTTAATCATTTATATAATTATAACAAAGAGATAGCTATCAAGTACTCACTGCGTGAGCACTCTCACTAACTACCCGAAACAGTTCGCTTGCTTCGCCGCTCCTGCTTTCAGGCAGTTAATTCGCTTTCGCTCTTTTATTGATGTCCGTTTTTCTCTAAGTATATATTATAAGGGGTTATTTTTGGACATGCTGCTGCTTTTCATGTCGGTGTTTCGGACTGAATTTGCATCTCTTTTTTGTACTGCTTTCTGGTATCTGCCCCACATAGCCGTAGTATCGTCAGTACTGAGATCCGCGTTGACAGTACTTGCAAGAAACGCTTTGAATGCCTCTAACTCAAGCCCCGGATTGTCCTTTTTCCAGCGACTGAAACGTTTCGATTTTGTATCACTCAATGCAGGCAGTCTGTTAGCGTTTGTGGCTCCTTTTGGCCTTCCTGGTACACCTGGTGCTACGTTTTCCAGCACTCCGGGAATATGTTCAATATTTGTACTTAATGACTCAGCCTGCCATTTATCAAATACATAAACCGTTTGCTGTTCTGTACTATCGAATTGACGTGATACCCCTCTCAACGCGAACTGGTGAAGGCTCTCGTATTCTCTCGCTTGATGGATATCCTCACCTGTAATCTTCAATAGCAACTCACACAGCTTCGCTTCCGTGTCGTCAGGACGCATACAGGCTAACCAGACGCATGTATGTCGATCTTTGTAGTCGTTATGCCCCCTCGCATCAGGGCTTATTCTGTAAGCCTCATGTAGCTTCTGTTTATCGGTATTGTTGTTCGTCCAGTAGTATTCCTGGCCTTCGAGTACTTCAGAGAGGTAAGCATAAACACGCTGGAGTTGAGCGGGGCTTCTGTCCTTCCATGTTTTTGATAATTTTATATTTTCTGAGAAATAGTATACTTTGAGGCGTTCAGTTAAAGGTACTTTTCGTTGTTGCAGATCATCCAGACTGATTTGTTCAAATATTTCTGGTCTTGCCTTATAAATCAATGAGTTTTCGAAGTTCGCCCCCATAAAATTTACAGGTAATCCAAGATACTTACTGAGATCTTTCCATCCAAGAATACTCAATTGCACTTTCCCTGGATCGTCAAAGTAATCCTTGTTCATGATGAAAATATCATTTTCACTGATAACCGAAAGTTCCTGTGCGATTTTGTTTATTAAGTGCCCTTTAACTGTTTTCTTTTTGGCTGTTAAGTATTGTCCCTTTTCCTCATCGACAATCTCATGCTCCTGCATTAGATCATGATATATAATGTCTTTGATTCTCTGATTATCGTCATTAATATTTTTGAATGAATGAAAATTAGTCACGTCGTCAAGCCAAATCTGCCAACCTTCTAACATTTCAACTGGTATTCTAAAAAATGTTTTATCACTAATGATAAGAACCCGCTCAACTGGTGCATTGAGAAAATCCAGTACTGTATTAATGACATTTCTACCCTTGGGGGTTAAATCGCTAATCAGCAATTTGCAGCTATCAAAATTTTTAGATGTATCTGTTGCAAGTTTCTGTGTGTTTTGTACAATAATAAACTTTTCAGTACTGCCTTTAGTGTTAAGCACTTTATTGATATTCTCACATAATTTATATGTTTTCCCTGCACCACACTCAGCAGATACGTACTTAAACTTATTATAAATAGGTGTAGTATTAATCATTTGCACACGCTCCACATTGATTAATTTAGAAAGGCCGATTCGTTCCAGTGAGTCGGCCTTTCGTCGTTTTAGTTATTGGTATTTAGGAACCGAAAAAGGCCAAGGTTAATTTTGCTTTGCATTTCAATGTTATTAGTACTGATAACACTTATGTCGCTAAGGTATTCAATAAACACTCATATTATCCATTCACAGAATCATTTAAATTTATTCAATCGAATTAAAATCAGAATTAGATAGCTCACCATTTAAATAGTAATATATGGCATAGTAATTACTTACCGAATAAGAAATTGATATTATGTCGCATCCATACAGCTACCATATTGTCTCTCTCTAAACCGTCTACATAGTTCAGCAGTATATGATAATCAATTATAGAAAGATCATCTTTAGTCTGTTTAAAAAGTATTGCTCCATCTTTTACCCTGATCCAGAATGAAGAGGTCGAATATAAAATTGTACCGTCAATATTTTCAATGATCACATCACCAATTAATTTTTGTTCTTTCTTCTTATGTTCTACAAAAATGACATGCCTTTTAAGATCATTGTTAATGTATTTTATATCAATAATATATGAGTCATCTACTCGTTTTAAACGAACAGTGGAAACAATCTTGTTTAGTTCATTTTCATAGCGTGTACGAATATCTACGTTATTCACATTAAACAATTCATTGACATCTACATTCTTTAGTACTGGTATATCAACATTTACAGTGGCTAATGATGCTTTCCGTGCTAACAGTTCTTCTAATTGTAATCTTGCATCATCCAACTCTTCACGCATTTCAAAAGATATAACCTTACCAACACTTTTACGACGTTCAATACCATTTTCATAGTTAGCAATCTGATCCTTGACTTGATCAATCTGAATACGTATTACTTCTAATTCTGGATTAAACTCTTGCTCCTTTATTACAGTACTAATATCCATCCCTATCAAGTGCTCTACGACAAAACGCTCTACTGTTTCATAGGTCATTGCTTTGTTGTTACAAAGTCCATCACGTTCACTGAGGCAACGAATATATCTATATTCCTCAACTTTTGGCTCACCTTTCTTCGGAGTACGTTTAGCACGTACAACATTATGGTACATTGGCCCGCCGCAATCCATACAACGGGCAATACCGCTAAAGAGATTACTTTTAATTAATACTTCTTCGTTATCAGTTTTCTTTACGGTAACACGTCCAGCATTAGGACGTCGAGATTTCAGTAAATCCTGTACTAATTCGAATTCATCTTCATTAACTATTACTGGATAGACATTCATTTGGTACTTCTTCTGTGTTACTGGATTATCTAAATCATCATGGTTACGGATTGTTTCAGAAATGAAAATTTTACCAGTAACACGGCGGTTAGTGAGAATTTTATGTACAAGTTCCCCTGTCCACGCCCGATTAAACTTATACTGCTCACCTTCTTTTTTCTGAAGTTCTTTAGCAATAGTTGGACACCCTAAACCAGTTTTATAAAGTTCAAATATTTCTTTTATTACAGTCGCTTTATGATTTATTATGTACTTATCATCTTTTACATCGATCCACTGAGGACGTTTATTTGTAACTATCGTACCTTTGTTAAAGGCTTGTTCTCTCTTTTTAGCCCAACCTTTCCGAATACGATCACTTTTATATTTTGATTCATCATATGCCCTTTGTGCGTTCATCATTACAAAAGGTAGATCTTTAGAGTTACTACGGCTAATCACAATGTTAGCCATTACATCATGGATAGCTACATTGTGAGCCATTAAAGCATTGATATACCCCATTACATCGAACGGATTTTGACGGCTGAAACGGTCGATCGACTCTACTACTAAGATAGAACTATCCCACATCCCTTTACGTACTTCTTCCATCCATGCCCCTAATTCACCTTCTGAGATGTTTAATCCTTTAAAGGCTGAGACACCTTGATCCGACAATACTACAGGGATTGGGTCATGCATCTCAGAACAAATGCCAGTACGCTCTAAGTAGCCCTCTAACAGCTCTGCCTGCCTTGCTATACCAGATCCATCCAACTGTTGGTCTGAACTAACACGGTGATATACAAAAACTTTTTTCATTATCGTTAAATTTTAAATTTGTTTGTATAATCATAACAC